TATTTTTCCTACACGGATGTGCACAGGCTATTCTTAAGATGCTTGCGTCGTAAATCTGGTGACATTATATATATTTATTGTTGTTCATTAAGTGTGTTCAGTAAACGGAACAATTTATGAATCTGACATATGGTACAGGACATACAGTATGCAGTCACACTCACATATATATTTCAAAACGTCCAAATATATACAGCTCACCACTTTATACAAACATGTCATCCTGACTACATATATACATTCACATATGCATAGCACTTTATACCTGCGTATACCTGTGTGCCACTGTGTACATGTGCATTACTGTATGCCCCACTATACATGTACGCACATGTATACCTACACAACCACGTACATGTCATTTCACACATACTCACATATATACCTACACATCACATGCATTCCTTTCTACACACATGTACATGTACCCTTGTAACAATATGTTAAATTCTCTTCAACATCCTGCTGTCCCCTACCCCCATGCCCCAACAGCCGCGGCTTTCTTCGAGATCCTCAATCTGACCACCAGACATCGCATTGATGTGAGTCAGAAAGACGCGTACGCCGATTTCACCATCACATCTGTTGACCTGGTGGACGATACGTTGGTGCAAGCGTAGTAGTGTGCACCCCAGTACATATACGCATGGATAGGTAGTCTGTCCATATATAGACAAGTTTGTTTTATTTATAGACGAGTTTAGTATATTTATAGCCGAGTATATTTATAGCCGAATTTGTTGTATTTATAGGCTAGTTTGTTATATATATAGGCAGATGACCTATCTCTATATATAGTATGCACGGTTGGATACCCAGTGTCTGCGACTGATATGTTAGCGGCGATGCAGGTCTTTCTGTACGCCTAATAGGAGATGTAGTAGTTTAAAAAAATAAGAAATAGGACAGAAAGAAATTGGGATAAGACGTTCCAAAAATATACTAGTCCGCTGTTCTGGATAGGTACGGCTTCAAAAGACGATTATAACCACTGTTGATGGCAAGGGGCCATGCAGAGTGCTCGTATGCTCTCCGCTTGAGCACCCCTGCACGATTATAGCTACATCGAGATGCTTAATTTGAATAAATATAAATAACCTCAACAACACGCCATTCTCGACAAAGAAAGGAACGTTTGTGTATGAACTGGGAATACACTACACCCGTGTTACAATAGGAGACTCAGTAGGAATGCCAGATATTGCAAAGGCCATTCATTAGATGGTACGGGCTCATCCGTATAACAAAATCGGGTTGATAAATGTGAGTCTCATTGTGGTAGAACAGTATATGTATGAGCTATGCGCGCGACTATCGATATATGTAGTAGGCGTTAAAGTTAGGACCATGATATCATACCTTATATACGTATATAATCATATATACATATATAATCATATGCATATATATTTTTATTTTTATACAGATATACATAACGTATACATACCTAATCATATGCATATTTAGGCATATACGTATATAATCATATACATACTCATATATATATATCTAACCATATACACCTATTGCACTTACAGCCTTCGTGATCCCACACGTTCTCCATATCAATATAGTTTACACTTCAGAACTCGCGAACACCCTACCCTATATGTACAATCTATAGAGTTTACATCTTTAATTGGTTTATCACTATAAATATATATATATGTATATATAATATACTAATCCATAGCCAAACATCAGTCCTACTCGGCTCGGTCTCCCTTAAGGTGTGCGTAAACACTGGAGAAGTCCTTCTTGCCATAGCCATGAGCTGTCATAGTCGAGTACACGGCTTGTGCGGCATTGCCCAATGGGATGGCGGCCTGGTTGGCTGTGGCAGCTTGAGTGGCCAGTCCCAAATCTTTCAGCATCAGCGCGGTACCAAAACCTCCCTGTAGATAAGTCCAGTTCGGTGTTAGAATGGGACGATTTGTGTATAGAGAAGAAAGGTTATAGGGTTTCAGGGTTTGAATGTAGTTATCGTCTGCGTGGACATATGTGAGTTTCACCACCAGAACTGTACCTAACCCAACTTGAAAACATATGGACGACATAATTTCGCTATTGCACATAGTAAACAATCCGAGTGTAGCTATATATACTATACATATATTGTACAGTTCAGACCTCTTCACATAATAGATCTATAACCCAATAACCCATCAACCCTATATGCTGTCACCCCCTGAGCGAAACCCAAAGCTTCTCTGCCGACAAGTACAGGAAGCGAACACAGGGTTTTTAGGGCGTTGAAACCCAAATGGATACATGACCATCGTGCTCGGCTCAATATCAAATGCAGATGCCAGGCTAGTAGCACCAGAACAAACCCAGGCTGTCACTTTCACGACATGCAAGAGTGTGGTATGATACACATCACTCAGTGGGGTGGGGTGCCAGGCTCGGCATTCATGCGCGTGCCAGTGGTTAATGAACACGCGCACAAGTAATTCTTTAATTCGTCAATTCTTTAATTCTTCATATACATATATACATATATCTGTAGGAGCACTTGGATTGATCCAAAACATACTAATAAGGTACAGTCACAGTCCTACAACATAGAACAACGTACACTCACTTCGCGAATTGGATTAGAACCCATATGAGTGAGAGAGATGTTTATTACATGTGGTGTTCGGCGCAGTCTGCATCGTACGTACCTCGTAATCCCTTGAGGCCGGTACTCCTTCCATAACACCGGGGACTGGGTTGTATGTATCACTGGACCAGCAACGGCCAGTACTGTGGTGGGAATGATACCGAATTAGTTAAACTGTTAAACTAGTGGGAAATTAGGTAAACTGTGTATTGTAGTGGAAAATTAATTAAACCAAACATTTTTGAGAGAAACTAGTTAAGCTATATAATTTTGAGGGAAACTAGTTGAACTATATAATTTTGAAGGAAATTAGTTCAATTACATAACAATGAGGTAAGCTAGTTGAACTATATAATTTAGCGGGATGATAGATAAACTATATAATTTAGCGGAAAATTAGATAAACTGTATAATTAAGTGGGAAATTAGATAAACTATATTGTCATTAGGGAAATCGGTTTGACTATATAAGTATAAGGACACACTAGCAACGGCTAATACTGTGGTGTGAATAATACCGAATTAGTCAAACTGTATTATCATGTGCGAAATCAGTTTGATAATGTAATTACAAGGACACACTAGCAACGGCCAGTACTGGGGTACAAACAACTGGAAGCCATGAAGCTCACTCACCGAATCTACAACTGAGTTTCAAGGCATATAGTGACTGGTTCGGAAGTGTACGGTGATACGGACAAACTAAGCTAACAGTTCGATTGGTCTTGCTAATACTACAAACTCGTACAAGTATTCGGAGACATGCCCTATTTGAGGGCACTTACTCATGGATATACGTCATATACATATATCTATATATACAAATATACATGAATAGCCTATACATACTATAGCGCACTCTCATGGATATATATATATATATATATACATATATACATAGTACATACATACTATAGCGCACTCACTCAAGGATATACATATATGCACCAATATACAAAACCAACATACACCTATATACCTACCTTGAATTGATAATATCGGCCAGGACCTTCTTGTCGATACCCAGTTTGGCGCCCAGATTGAAGCTCTCCGCAACACCCGCCATGCTGATGCCCATGCACATGTTGTTACAGATCTTAGCCACTTCACCTGTACCTACACCTCCACAGTGTACTATATTCTTGCCCATATCCTAAAAAATAAAATAAAAAGGGATGTGAAGATGTATTACACGCCACAAAGGCCCCGGCTTTCTATGCAAGATTGCCCCAAACGCAGAAACAAACATCGGGATGTCGGTGTAGTGTACTGTGTATTTGCCCGCGTTCTGGTAAGTTGCAGTCCGGCTAAACTAAGTCCGCCCCCTCCCCCCCCCAAAGTCAACACAAAACCAAAGACAGATTTAGACGGACACTGGCTATCTAGTTCTGCTATAGTATATTATAGCTGATCCATTTAAAGTGCAAATAGAACCAGATTAACACAAAAACTAACCAACTAACCATCTATACTACAATGCGCTATAGCTGACTAACTTTAATATATTATACTGTAGCTGTACTGTCTTGATGGTCACACACAACCAGATTCATACAGAAACTAATATATATATATATATATAAATATACTATACTTGAATGTACTGCAAATGACTAAATATACTATATTGTGAAGTGTCTTACCGTCAAGACCTCCTTTGCTTTGGCGAAGCTCTCATCGTCGCCGCCCACCATAAACGTGAGCGTGCCGTTCTCTGCACCTCCCACACCACCAGACACTGCTCAGGTACAATGAAGAACAAACACAAGGGTGTGTGAGAGAGTAGGTATGTTACCATATATGAATGTATGTGTATATTACACTATTATATACGTATAGAAACAGATGCAATGAGGAATAAGCACAAGAGTGTGCGGAGAGTAGAAATGTAACCTAAAGTGGATGTATGTGCATATTTATACACTATTATATACGCATGTAAACAGATGCCATGAGGAACAAACACAAAGTGTCTGTGAGAGAGTAGGTATAGGTGATACATACCTGGAGCGTCGACAAAGGTGAGACCTTTCTTTGTTGCAGAGGCATGGACTTGTCGGCTGGCAGCTGGATCGATGGTGCTGGCGTCTATACACTGTAACCCTGTAGGAACAACAATGTCGCATATATGCCACGGGATGAGTCAATAAAATGGACTAAAATCGAATACAATGGTACTGGCTGGCGTCTATACACTGTAGCCCTGTAAGAACAACAAAGTCGCACATGTGTAACGGGATGAGTCAATAAAATGGACTAAAATCGAATACAATGGTGCTGGCTGGCGTCTATACACTGTAGCCCTGTAAGAACAACAAAGTCGCATATGTGTAACGGGATGAGCCAGTAAATGGACTAAAATCAATATCTTGATGCTGGCGTCTATGTAGGAATGTCAATGTCGCATAAATGTCGCAGGATGAGTCAGAAAATGGACTAAAATCGAATACTGTGGTGATCGCGTCTATATGTAGTAATGCCAATGTCGCATAATTGTCAGAAAATGGACTAAAATCGAATACCATTGTGCTGGTTCTAAACACTGCAATGACGCCAGAGAACCACTTTTAAATAGAGCACACACCATATGACTTGCCGCCTACTGATATCGAGTGCAAACTAAAGCTGGACAAAATTGTCCCATTTTGACCAAGGCTTACGGGATAGACTGGAACATACTATGAGGCGAAATGGAATGCGCACAAGCGTATTATAAAGCGTCTGCAGTACTTCTAATACTCTTTGTGTTAGCGAGAGGAATCTAGGCTGAAATGGGGCCTACAATGTCCCATTTGCGGACTTCAACGCGGGCGGGCTAAGGAGAACACAGTACAAACATACGACAGCAATTGCACCGACACTCAGATGACTAACATATGGCGCAGTATATATCGGTGCAGCCGCCACCTCGTCGCGGGTGAACAGTTTAGAGGAATGCATACGTGTACACAGGTATAGCAATACATTCTCAACATTCACATACGCAGATAGACACAATCAACAAACCACACACACACACACATATATATATATTGTGTATAATAGTAATCAATCTGTGGATATGTTCGCAAAATAGATGCAGATTGCAACATACCTGGTTTGGCGCTATCTATGATGCCACCCTCGCCTTCGTATACATCTATCACATGACTGGAGTTGGGAACCATCGTGATAACAGTTTCCACCTTAATATTGACAACACGGTTTACAATGAAACTTTTTAAGTTTAAGGTCAGAGCATCGCTGATATATTAAGAGAAGGGCAGTATAATACCATTTTAATTGCATATATATATATATATATATATATATATATGTATACTATTATATATATAGAACAATATATATAATTATCATATATAATAATACTATANATATATAACGTATATACATACTATATATTATTGTANATATATACATATATATATAAATAAATA